TGGCTTTGGGCCACACCGTCTCTGCTGCTGCTACTCAGCTCGGCCTTAGAGGTGGAGGCAGCTGTAGACAGTGGGCACTCGGGTGGGAGTGACTAGGTCCTGGGAGTGCCATTCACCAGAATAGGCGCGGGCAGCAGTTTGCCGATCCCTGTATTTTAAATTGAATCTCTGGCCCAAGTTGATCCTTCCCAACCAGCCTGCACATGTTGGAGCAGCAGCATGACGTCTGGACTTTTGGGAGATGCTCCGTTGTTGCCTGCCTTGGTTTCTCCCTTCAATAGGGCTGGCCAGGGAGTTCACCTCCTTGATGCTTCAGTGGTGCAGTTGTAACACTGTGTCTCTTATTTCAGTGGTACTCGGTTTGTGTGGAACAGGTGGGCTTTGTGGGCCCAGGGGTGGGAGAAGGTGATGGCTTTGTCGGGTTTAATCTCAGAGTTTTTGGCTTAATGTCACAGCCCCAGGACTGTACCCAGGGTGGGTACAGAGGCTGTTGAAGAATTTTAGAGACAGTGCAGATGTTGAGTAAGTGCAGACGGTTGTAAGAGGAGACCAGAGGTGTGCAGCTTCCATAGGGCTGGGCCTCGGAAGGGATGACACGTCTTGGAGAGCCCAGGCTTCGCAGTCGGCGACTCTTGGCCCCAGAGACCTGTCCCTGCGCAGGCCATGGGAGCTCCAACCTGAGTGTCTCGGAACTGGAGCTCCCCAGACAGTCGGAGGTTTCTGGCTGGTGCTCATCCCCTTCAGTTAAAGGGGAGTCTGTGTCAGCTGCCGGAGCTGGAGAGGGTGAAGTGGCAACAAGGGACTTCTGTTGCCCAAAGTGCAGTGACTTGATTTCATGTAAATCAGTGTGGCTGCCTCCTCACCAAGTGTGATCTCCAGCAGGCTGGAAAAACGTTGTGTCTGGGTGTGTTGCAGAGTTGGGGGTCTGTGTGTGCGTGTGTGTGTGTGTGTGTGTGTGTGGTACATGGTGTGTGTTGTGTGTAAGTGGAGTACCCAGGTGCAGGGTCAAAGCCAAACCGTAATGATTTATCAGGGGAGCGAGAGAGTCTCTCATGAGTTGGTAATTGTGTACTTAAGGGTTACTTGATACTGTTTTAAATGTATGGGTTGGAAATAAAAACAGTAAAAGCTCTTTAAACCCGGCCAGTTTGAGGTGGATGGCAAAACAGCCCAAGTGCTGTATCAGTGAAAAAGCGATTACAGTTTAGAGAAATGCTCCTTCCTAGTCCTGAGGGTGCCAAGTGGGCTCTGCTCGGTTTTGGCTCCTTTGTGAATATCATACTAATTGTATTCAGGGGCTGCTGTTGTGTGGGCTCCTCAGATTGGTTCCTTCTCTCTCTGTGTTAAACTGTCCCTGCTCATTCATTCCATAAATATTTATCGAACCCCTGGTATGTGTTCGACACTGTTCTGGGTGCTTGAAATAAAATCAAGCCTCAGGCAGACACCCCTTTCCTTGTGGCCTGTTTTTTCTTATTAAGGTATCATTGATATACACTCTTATGAAGGTTTCACAAGAAAAGCAATGTGGTTACTACATTCACCCTTATTTTCGAGTCCCACCATACCCCATTGCAGTCACTGTCCATCAGTGTAGGAAGATGCCACAGAGTCCCTACTTGTCTTCTCTGTGCTACACTGTATTCCCCATGTCTTCAGTGCACTAATCATGATACCCCACAATCTCCTCTCTCCCTCCCCACCCACCCTCCCACACCCCTACCCTTTGGTAACCACTAGTCCCTTCTTGGAGTTGTGTCTGCTGCTATTTTGTTCCTTCAGTTTTGCTTTGTTGTTATACTTCACAAATGAGTGAAATCATTTGGTACTTGTCTTTCTCCACCTGGCTTATTTCACTGAGCATAATGTCCTCCAGCTCCATCCATGTTGTAACAAATGGTAGATTTGTTTCTTTCTTATGGCTGAATAGTACTCCATTGTATATATGTACCACATCTTCTTTATCCATTCATCTACTGATGTACACTTAGGTTACTTCCACATCTAGATTATTGTAAATAGTGCTGCAATAAACATAGGGGTGCATATGTCTTTTGTAATCTGAGAGGTTGTATTCTTTGGGTAAATTCCAAGGAGTGGGATTCCCAGATCAAATGGTATTTCTAATTTTTTGAGGAACTTCCATACTGCTTTCCACAAGTGTTGAACTAGCCTACATTCCCACCAGCAGTGTAGGAGGGTTCCCCTTTCTCCGCATCCTCGCCAGCATTTGTTGTTCCTAGTCCTTGTGGCATTTATGTTCTTTTTGGGTGAGAAAGTCCATAGACAAAGTAGCTGTGTTTTGTGGAGTGTGCGAAGAGGCCAGGGCCATGGGAAAGAAGGAGCAAGGTGAAGGAGACATTTGAAGAGGGCCTTGTGGGGCGGGGGACACAGAGAGGTTGGGATGGGGGAGTGACGGAGGCAGAGGGAGCAGCTAGCACAAATGCTCTAACAACTGCTGCAGCACAGATGTTTCTGAGGAATTGTATGAAGCTGATGTGGACTGCCTTTTTGACATTTAGGGCTTACTGTGGAGTACTTATGGTATGCTAGTTAGGCTTCCAAAGGTCATTTTCGATTTGGGGTGCCAGTTGAAGAATTGATTGCTAAAATGATAATGTATCTGGGATTTCGTTTAAAACATAAAAAGACCCCTTTATATGTTGGAGGCATGGCCAGGAGGCCAGCATGGCTGGGACAGGGCACTGGGTGGGGTGCCGGGACCAGGAAAGGACAGGGCTTTGCTCTAAGCAGACCTGGGGCCACAAGAACATTTCTGACTGAGGAATAATAGCAGGGGTGCAGTTTACAGGCGTCTGTCCTAGCTGGGAGGATGGTGTGGGCAGTGGAGACAATGAGCAGGGGATGGAACCCAGATGTGTTTGATAGCAGAATTACCAGGATTTCCTGATGGGATTGGGGAGTGGTAGTCCCATCAAGAGGGTAACCCCAGATTTTAATCTGAGCAGCAGGAAGACTGGATTTCCCACGAGCTAACATGGGAGAGCCACGGTGGAGTGTGAAAGTCTGCATTTCCCCTAAAACTTCTTACACAGTGCGTTCTACCCCGTTATGTCCTGTGTGTGTTTTGGTAACATTGCGAAGATGACCTTGTTCCTTGCAGGGTTAACCCCTCAGGGAAATGTCTAACAAAGTAGGATACTTGGATCATAGAAAATCAGTTACCTGCATGTGCAAGGGTATATATTCTCTTCCATCTCTTGTCTGTACACTCACATCAGACTGTCTTAGTCACTGTAGCTTTAGGGGAAGTCTCGAAATCAGGTGTAGGGTAAGCCTTGCAAATTTATTCCTCGTTTTCAGTGTTTTCACTATTCTAGATCCTTTGCATTTCCATGTAAATTGTAGAGACAGATTGTTTTTCTACAGAAAGGCATGCTGGGACTTAGTTATTGGGATTGCTTTGAATCTATGGATCAATTTGGGGGAGAACTGATACCTCTGACCCGTGGACAAAGCATGCCTCTTATTTCTCTCAGTAATGTCTTATTGCAACTTCAGTTTATAGGTTGTGCACATTTAAAAATAAAATCAAGGTTATCCTTAAGTATTTCAGATTTATGCTGTTGTAAATGGATTTTCAAAAATCCATTGAAAAATCACATATAGAAGTGCTGCTGCCTTTTGCATCCTGATCCTGAAGGGAGCAGGTGCTCCGAAAGCCCAGGGCCCCTGTTCTGAAGCTTTCCTCCTTCTGTGTCAGAGAGAGAGGCCAGGGCTCAGGAGGTACGAAAGAACTAGAATAATGGTGTCCACTGTGTTTCCCAGCCTGAGTGGGGCCAGAAAGGAGCTAGCCCTTGTGATGGCCACAGCTTGCTGGGCGCCAGTGGAGAGAGTACTAACTAGGTGCTCCTTGGTGCCCAAACGTCTTCCTGTGGAGTTCACTGTATTTGCTTATTTTGCAAGTTCCCCTGTGGGAGTGTTTCTTGCCATCCATGAGCTGTGAATTGCTGTGAACCTAGTTTAAAAATAAAGATTTCATATTAGAGCGAGCTCCTGGTAGTCATGTGGGCTCAAAGAATGACAACACAGGTGATACTGAGAATATTTGGCGAGCTACAACTGACAGCGCGGCCCAGGAACCCTGGACCCCGCTGCTTTGTCGGGTGCAGCCTCTGAGCATGGAAGGAGACCTGGATGCCTGACTCACAAAGGAAGGGGAAGTCTCGCGGCCACTCTGTCTCTGTGGCCTTGGGAGAGTTCGGAACATTCTGGAACCTTACTTTTCCTGTCTGTAGGACTGGCAGTCCCTTCCTTCCAGGCGGTGTAAGCCCTGTGGAGGTGAAGCTGCCTCCTTCTGAGAGGTGAGGTCTGCCTTCCCCCAGGCACATTGCGCCCTCAACTTCTTGAGGGCGAACCCTACCCTGCCTGGTATGGTGGGGTGGTTTCTCTGGGGTCTGTGTCAGGTAGCACAGAAGTAGGGGGCAGCAAAGAGGTCATGTCTGGAAAGGGAGACCTGGGTGACCCTAGGCAAGTTCCTGAATATTTGGAACTTCAGGTTCCTTTATCTGTAAAATGGGGACAAATGTGTATCCTACTCCTAAGTTTGTCCTGGGGAGTCAGGGCAGTACTGAGTTTTAGCACAGTGTGTGGAACTCACTGCTGAGCACCTATGAAATGCTAGTTATTACTGTTCTGCTGTTAAAGGCATTACTATTATAATAAAAACCTTGATCCACTTGTGTGTATTTGGTGTATTGGTATGTGGCTGTGTACCATCTCATGTTCTACCCCTATTGCTAAAGATGGTGTCTGGGTTGCTGGTGTTCATTGGTTAGCCCCGGATTGGGTCATAGGTCAGAGACTGGTAGAGATTTATTTCCCCAGTTTGCTCCTCTGTGGTAGGTAGCATGGGCAGAGCTCTGGCTGAAATTTTAAGATTTCACTATCCTACTTCAGGGGTCAGAGACATTTAAAATTGCTGGTATGTTCCAGAAACTTCCCTTGGAAACTCAGTGTTTCTTTATCCTCCACTTTAGGTTGGCCAGCATGTTTACACAAACTACTGTTTGATGTAGCTGCCGTCGTGGTCAGCTGGTAGGACCAGTGTCCCATGCCCAGAAGCCAGGTGAGTGCTCAGGGCCTCTTCTCTGTGGAATGAAGGCTCTGACCGGCCTAGAAAGGCTCGTTTAGCTCCTTGGACATTTGAAATTGAGCTGCTTCAGAAGTTGGTGGCTACCTCCTAGATGTGCTGGACGGGGACAGGCCCCCCCAGGATTTTGTGCTGGGCCGTCTCTCTCTACAGGGCCTCTCAGGCCCTGCCCACTGCCTCCAGGGAGGCCGTTTGTTCTCTCTTCCTGTCTCAGGGGTCACTTACTTGAAAAGCTCAGGCCTAAATAGGATGAGCGGCCCTTTGGGAGGATCATGGGCAGAGGATAATCCTGTCCAGGTGGCCTTTGCCCTTTGGCTGTTTTTGTGGTTTCTTAAGGCTGACCAAAATGAGTAGAATTTGTCCTTAACCAGTTGGGCCTGTACTGATGCTGCAGGCTGGTCACTCTTATTTGGCCGTGTGCCTGTAGGGAAAATCCAAGCCAATGTCCCCTCCCCTGACTGTGCTTGGAGCTCTCAAGCAGAGACTGTTAAGGGCTGTCAGGACCCAGCAGGACAGAGACTGACACCTGGGTGGGATTTTGTCGGATACCATCAGGGCCCAGGCAGCCCTGTTTTGGGTCAGGGCTGCCTACGTGAGGAAGAATGTAGAACTGAGAGTCATCGTAGAACTTGAAGGCAGCTTGGAGGCCTCCTGGGTCAGTCAGCTGCTTTGTTAGAGGCTGGCCAGCGGGTGACTTGCTGAGGGGTGTTTACCCTTCTAACAGTGCCACAGCTGCTAGGTGAGTGCATGAGAAGGTGGGGGCTTGGTTTTGTGAGGTTTCAGCTTTTATCTTCATATAGCAAGAAAATAGGGGCACAGTCAAGTAATCCTCATATTAGGGAAACATTTCCAGAATGTTCTCTTAGCAAACACAAACTTTACTGGTGCTTTAAAAATTCTTTTTTAGATTGAGATATAATTTGCATATCACAGTTCACCTATTCATAGTAGATGATTCAGTGATTTTTTTTAATGTTCAAGAATTGTGCAACTATCACTTCTATCTAGTTCCAAAACAACTTTCATCATCCCGAAACAAACCCCACGCCTACAGCAGTCACTGCCCATCCTCTTCCCCAGCCTTTGCAATCAGTAATCTGCTTTTTGTCTATGTATTGGCCTGTTCTGGACATTTCATATCAATAGAATGAAATAGCGTGTGACCTTGTGTGTTTGGCTTCTCACTCAGCATGTTTTTGATGTTCACCCACGTTGTACTGTGTATCAGGACTTCATCCATTTTTTATGGCTGAGTAATATTCCACCACAGGGATGGACCATGTATTTCGTTAATTCCATCATCTGGATGATTTTGGGATGTTTTTACCTTTCTGCAGTTGTGCACAGTGCTGCTATGAACATGTGTGTACACAGATGTGTGTGTGGATGCATTTGAAGTTCCCCTGTGTATTCCTAGGAGTGGAATTGCTGGGTCATGTGCTAGCTCTGGGCTTAACTTTTTTTTTTAAGGGCAGAAATGTTTTATTTATTTATTTTCTAAGTAATAACATAAATAAATGAACGCATGACTGAATGCATCGCTGCATGGGAAGAAAGGGGGATATAGCCATCTAATCTCCTAATATATTTCTTCACCTAACTTTTTTAAAAAATTCATTTTATTATCATTAATCTACAATTACATGAAGAATATTATAGTTACTAGATTCCCCCCTTCACCAAGTCCCCCCCTCACAAACCCCATTACAGTCACTGTCCAGCAGCATAGTAAGATGCTGTAGACTCACTACTTGTCTTCTCTGTGTTGCACATCCCTCCCTATGCTCCCCCTGCCCACATTATACATGCTAATTGTAAGGACCCCTTTCTTTTTCCCTGCCCTTATCCCTCCCTTCCCACCCCTCCTGCCCAGTCCCTTTCCCTTTGGTAACCGTTAGTCCATTCTTGGGTTCTGTGATTCTGCTGCTGTTTTGTTCCTTTAGTTTTTCTTTGTTATACTCCACATATGAGTGAAATCATTTGGTGCTTCTCTTTCTTCACCTGGCTTATTTCACTGAGCATAATACCCTCTAGCTCCATCCATTGTTGTTGCAAATGGTAGGATTTGTTTTCTTCTTATGGCTGAATAATATTCCATTGTGTATATGTACCACATCTTCTGTATCCATTCATCTATTGATGGACACATAGGTTGCTTCCATTTCTTGGCTATTATAAATAGTGCTGTGATAAACATAGGGGTACATCTGTCTTTTTCAAACTGGGTTGCTGAATTCTTAGGGTAAATTCCTAGAAGTGGAATTCCTGCGTCAAATGGTATTCTATTTTGAGCTTTTTGAGGAACCTCCATACTGCTTTCCACAATGGTTGAACTAATTTGCATTCCCACCAGCAGTGTAGGAGGGTTCCCCTTTCTCCACATCCCTGCCAGCATTTGTTGTTCTTAGTCTTTTTGATGCTGGCCATCCTTACTGGTGTGAGGTGATACCTCATTGTGGTTTTAATTTGCATTTCCCTGATGATTAGTGATGTGGAGCATCTTTTCATGTGTCTGTTGGCCATCTGAATTTCTTCTTTGGAGAACTGTCTCTTCATATCCTTGACCCATTTGTTAATCGGGTTATTTGTTTTTTGGGTGTTGAGCTGTGTACGTTCTTTATATATTTTGGATGTTAATCCCTTGTCAGATATGTCATTTACAAATATATTTTCCCATGCTGTAGGATGCCTTTTTGTTCTGTTGTTGGTGTCCTTTGCCGTACAGAAACTTTTTAGTTTGATGTATTCCCATGAGTTCATCTTTGCTTTTGTTTCCCTTGCTCGAGAGTTGCGTTCAGGAAGAAGTTGCTCGTGTGTATATTCAGGAGATTTTTGCCTGTGTTGTCTTCTAAGAGTTTTATGGTTTCATGGCTTACATTCAGGTCTTTGATCCATTTCGAGTTTACTTTTGTGTATGGGGTTAAACAATAATCTGGTTATTCTCTTGCGTGTAGCTGTCCAGTTTTGCCAACACCAGCTGTTGAAGAGTCTGTCAGGCAGCTACATCATTTATGTCCCAGCACTGCCCAAAGCCAGCAGAGCTCTTTGGAGACAAGCACTCAAATTCTGTACCAGTTTCCCAGAGCTAGTTGAGGATTGCTGCTGTTGATGGTGTTTGATACTTGGTGCTAGGGGCAGCACACAATGGGGCAGCCAGGAGGAGGGTGGGCCTGGCACTTGGCTGTCAACAGTCTTTTCTTTAGACATTAGCATTTAAAAATCATGGAACTGTACATCTGGAAAATGTCACCTGCAGCCGAGTGGGGTGAGTGACTGACCCATCCTTTAGCCCAGGACATTGTCTGAAGCTAGGGGGTCTAGTTTAGGGTTCTCCGAGGTCCTGGGCTGGGTGCCCTCACCTTTGCCTGGTCATTTGTTGACTAAGCAGTACATGGTCAAAGCATTAAGTACTTACTTAATGAATGAGTGAATGAACAAATGAGTGAAACCTCCTTTCCTGTCACAGGGCCAGCAGGGGAGGCACAGCCATAGCAATACAGTCAGTCAGTTTGGGGGTTTGGCAGGAAGCTTCCAGTTTCCATCCCAGGTGTTCCTTTGGGTCCCGCCTCTTCCCATCCTATGCAGGAAGGGGCTTGATTGGGAAGGCCAGTCTGTGAGTAGTCATGGCATGTAATGGTCAAGGTCAAACGGGCAACACCCTTGAGCAATTATTTTTTAAAGATTTATAAATGTCAGTCTGTGTGTATTCTTTGTTGTGTATGGATATGTCAGCTCAGCAAATCAAATGATTTTATGTTTTCTCTGATTAGCAGACGCCCACACCCTCCTTCAGTTGAACCATGGCCTGTGGTCTGCTGGGTTCTCTGCCTTTCTGCCACCCAGAACCCAGCGGGCACAGAAGAGGAGCAGGGAAAGAGGAGGGCTGGCTCCTGGTGGGCACTGAGGTGCACACACAGCCCACACACAACACCCCACATCATATGTGCTTGCTGGCGTGCACACCCTGGGTCAGACTGCCTGCTGGGGCTTTCTGCCCTTGAATTTTGTCTGTCAGGGGTCTTGTTCATTTGGCAGGTACACACTGCTCATGCACCAAGAAACCAGCCTTATATGTCGGGCGTTAAAAGGATTAAAAATGGGTGAGACTTAACAGAAAAACAGTTCACAGAGAAAGTGGATGCAGATGCTCCTTAACCAAGGCATGAAGATACTCAGTCTTTCTGCTACTAAGAATAATGTTTGTTGGAGCTTCCCCACCACATCTCTGATCTTTTGTCTCCAGAGTTGGACACCATTCTGTTGGTGGGAATCAGGCATCACCATGTGCTACTTTTGAGAGTTGCCAACAACTCTGAGGGGGATTTGCTTACCCTCTGCTCCAGCAGTTCCTCTTCTGGAAATGTACCCCAGAGATACACTGTCAAACGTGAGGGTTGTGATGAAACTGTTCATCACAAGAATGTGAACTAGCGAAACTGGGGAATGACTTAGATGGTTGTCGGTGGGGACTCAGGGGTGGAGCTGCTGGTGGTGTGGAGCCACGCCCCCGAGTGAAGGAAGGAGGGGTGTCTGTTGTGTCTCAGTGACGGGAAATGACAAGTGGAAAAAACCAAGTGAGGTAAAGAGCTGTAGTGCACTCACTCATCTAAGGAAAGTGGACGGGGTGGGGGCATGGACATATGTATATTTGCTATATTTTATTTTTACACACAGAAGTATAAAACATAAATGAACCACATAGTCACCTCCAGGGGGAGGGGTGGGAGGGGACAGGGTTGCCAGGAGATGACTCTGGGTTTCCTTTCTGAGAGCACCGTGTGTTTTAATAATTATAACACAAAAGTATGTCAGATGCTGGGTGGGTGGGGAAGCAATCTCTAGAAACCAAAGCAAAATGAAGTAAATGAATTCAGGTTCATTCGCTTGTCAGCTGAGACTCAGGTATGTGACTTAACCCTCTCGCAGGACTTAGTACTAAACATAGTAGTTTGTAATGTTTTAATGAGATGTGCCAT